ATTTGCATATAAAGATTTATATACACATGCAAATATATTTGTCTATATACAGGTGGACAAGACATACACTTCTAGTTATATATAATTTCTGCAAATCATGTGATTAGATCACCAACCTGTTCTGTTGATAGTTCAGCGTGGTCCATTGATACTGCGACAACTTGAGACCACACGGATTTGTAACAAGCCAAAGACCTACAAAGTCAGCAGGAAAAGAAGTGACAAAAACCAATTAATCAAGCTCCAATTCCCCTCAAATTAAGTTCAAATTCACGCAAAATTCATAGAAAACCATGAAACTTGATTTGGTTTACCAAATTCGTCTGTGCATATCTTTAAAAGGCTATCTAACCAAAACAATAGTCCAAAGTCACTACGACTGGTGTTGAACCTTCCAACTATTCTAGTGGAGAAAATTTAGGACACGAATGCAATTTAAATTTCTATAGATTCGTCGAAATCAAGTGAAGAATCAACGGGAACTACCTTGAAAACACGTTGAAGCAACGAATCAGACAAAGACGAAGAGGAAATTGGATTAGAGATCGATCGCGTACCTTAAAATTTTTTTTATCTCAATGTGATTTTGTTTTGTACCGGAGAGAGAGAGAGGAGGAAGAGGGGGAAGGAGAGGAGGGACGGAGACAGAGAGCTGTACTCGTGAAGGGGGCCTGAAACGGATTTTTCATTAGTGGGAAAGGATCTGGTACGTACTCATCACTGTGGCCTCGCGATGATCTTCGATATCCACCGTACACGTGGCTTGAAAAATCCAGTAACGGCCCGCTTGAGGAATAATCTACTGAAATCTCTGTCGGATCGACAATAGGCAGTATGACCGCGACCGGTCTTTTTACAATTATGTGGATCGGGCCGGATCAAAGTGACATTTTAATTAAATTGTGGGTTTGACTGTTGGCTCAGCTCATGACAAACCGAGCTCGGACCGGCCGGTCAGGTCGAATGGGCCAGACTCAAGCCACGCACGTTCTTCTTTTTTTGTTTATATATTTTAATTAATATTTGAATCAATAGCAATTCATATATTGTGGGTTGGTTATTTTAACTTTAAATACAAGTTTTTTCTTAGGATTTAATAAGTGTAGTTCGCCTATTTTTTATTTTATTATAAAATTAATAATTTAGTTTGTGTATTTTATAATATAACATATGATAAAAATAATAAACTAAAATAATTTAGTTAAATAATAACGGTCAATAGTTTATTCATTAATAAACTAATATAATTTTAAATTATAAGTATCAAAATCATAAATCTATAATATTGGAAATTTGGGAGGGAAAAAATTTAATTCTATTAATACTTTTAGTTTGGTTAATGCTTAAATACATATACAATACATAGATATGATGTTACTTTATATTTATTTTATTGCTAGAAGTTTGACACGTCTATTTTTTATGTTATTTGGGAAGTTGGTTTTATTATAGACATGCATATGATGTTAATTCTAACACCATCTTATTAGTTTTTTTTTTTTTAATATTTTTATTCTTTTATCCTTTCTTTTTGTTATTTTAATAGTTAGTTGATGAGAAATATTACTAGACATTAATTCCAAGTGCTATTATAAAGAAAACTTACTAAAGATAAAGGTAGATACATCTTTAATGTATCAATTATCGTGTCCTCGATAAAAGTTGGGTAGCAAAGTGCGAAGCGAATAACTGCTGAAAACATCTAAGTAGTAAACTCATCCCAAGATTAGTGCTCTCTTATTCTAATTTTCTCATAGCCTTTGGTAGCACAGTTTAAACAATAATGAATTTTTTTGCGATGCAGGAATAGAGTAATAGAAGTTTTGAGAATTTAAGAGATGACTACGATGAGATGAGTCATTTATCATTGCAATAGATATTAACTATGGACGTGTTGTGATGTAGACAGCTGAGCTGTTCTAACAAACTGATAAATTTAAATCTTGTTTTTACATGACTCAATTAATGTGATCGGACATTCGCTATCTATTTTCATTGTTCAACTCCTTGATAATTTTATTTTTGTTTTTAAACCTTAATTTTCTTTTAATTATTTTATTTTCATGCATTCAATTTTTCTCTTTTGCTCAATATGAATTAGAAGTATTATTTTTATTTTTTAAATTTAATTTTATGAATATTTTATACACAAAACACATAGAAATATCATAATTAATTGGCTATTACATGACATGAGACAATGATAACTTTATTCAAATAATATAACACATATTGTTTTATATAATTATTTTATTTTATTTGTTTAAACTATAGCCTTTTAAATCAGTATATTATCATTTATTATATAGTATAGTCCTGTCTTAAATAAAAATTATTCGAATATTTAAAATTATCCTTGTTTGGTAAATAAATTCTTATTTAATAATTTAAATCTATATTTTAAACAATTATACTAAAAATTATTTACTCATAATTTCAATAAGATGGGAATAATAACTTAAACAAGAGAGAATTTGCTGGTGGATAAATTGAAATAAAACCAAACTAGTTGGCAATTTCCTTTTTAGATATGAAATCTTTTGTTTGTCATGCACCAATTAAATTAAAAAAAAAAATCATGCACATATTAGTACATAGACTCCAATAACAATTTGTAGAGTTCTATATTTTTTTATTGAATTATAAATTGACAGTAATTAATATATAATATTTTATTTAATATATTAAATACTTAATTTATTAGAGTGTTATTAAAATTTTAGTAATCAAATTATGTTTTGATATGAATAATTTATAATTGTTAAGTTCATTTAGTTAGGATAACCATAATGCATTACTATTTGATCATTTTTTATTCATACAAACTGATGGTAATCTGTAACGTCACATGTAAATTTTAAGTGTTAGTTTATGTATTTAAATTCAATTAACTAGTTTATATATAAATTAAATCATATGTAAAATAAATAAAATTAAAATTTATCCCTAAAGATGCAAAAAATAAAACTAGGGACTAAAAATGAATAAAATTAAATTTATTTGGTGGTCTTTGTAAATTTAAAAATTTATTTAGAGGCCAAAATATAAAGAAAACTCAAAATTTAGGTCATTTTATAATTTTTGAAAAATAGGCCACTTGGACTAGCGACGTGGCAGCCATCCAATCAAAGAGAGCCATATGGCATTAACCCACATATGTGGTCATCCATACTGACACCCATGGTAAGCAGATAGGATAGTCTTAAACGTTTTGGACAAATCCAATAGTAAGATCGTGGTATTTAGATCTGGCGGTGTGCATACATGCAGAGAAAATGATGGTGATCAAACAGTTCATGTGTGAGATGTCGATTAGACGGTCTGCATGTGTTTTGAGGTAGTTTAACGGTCACGTGATTAAACAGTTCAGATCTAATAGTGAATTACGATCTAACGGTTGAGGAAATAAGATGACAAAATTACAATTTTACAATTAATGAAAACCCATATAACGGATCGCATGCGGCCACGTGTGCGAGGTTTGTGCGGTCCAGATTTTTTGAGTGGTGAGTTTAAAAACCTATCCAAGCCACTCAACTCAGTCCAATATGGAAAAGAAAAAAAAAAGAACTGAAGAAGAAAGAAGAAGAAAGGAAGAAAAGAGAAGGGAGGCCAAAGTCTGCTATTCCCTGTAGAGGAAAAAGGAAAAAAAATGCAGCAAAGATTGCTGACGAAGGATCGACCGCTGAGAGAAGGATTTTTAGTGGTCAACCAGTACCGAAAATCGCAAAAATCCACTGAGTTTTCCAACAACCCGCGACCCCCAATGCGTGATCAAACCAGTATTTTAATGAGTAATTTTCTAGAGTTTCATTTATCATTTTAATTAAACAAAATGCTATAGAGATAACCGGCATGTTATAGAACATATTTGAAGTTTAAATTAAGCCAAAATCAAGGAATGCATGCATGATAAATCGTATACAACTTGCAGGTTTATAACTGACATGAGAAAAAAAAAATTTCTTGCAGATTTTTTCTCAACTTTGGGGACATTTTTGGAGCTCAAATCGTTTTGTAGGACTTCCAAATTGTAAGTATAATTAATAGGTAACCCGAGGCCTGCATAACATTAATTTTTATTGGATTTTATTAACCGAATAAGAAGTTACAAGCTTACTAAGAGGGGTTGGTGACCTGGATTTAAAACTCATCTAAGGAACTATTCAGACAGTTCAACCCGTTAGAAAATATCTTCAAATCATCTATTTATATATTTTGATGCTTTTATTATGTTTTTAAACTCTAATTTGCTTGAATGAATGAATTAAATATATGTATAATACTTATATAGTGTATATATGTATAAATTGCATGAAAGAAAAAATTTGAAGAAAAAAATATGAAAAATGGGTTGTTCAAATTAAGGATTTAAGTAGAGAAAAA